ATGTTGTGTTGCGTGTTTCGGTGAGGAAAAGGACGTCAAGCTTTCTACTACGGAGTAAAGTGAGGACTGACTGGTGTTTTAGTATTTCGGCCATTCCCTGTACGTTTTGTGTACCTATTTTAAAAGGTTGTCCATACGGCAAGGGTGGTGGGGCTACTGCTGGCGGAGTAGCCTTTTTTTGCTTGCCGATTTGTTCAGGCCTTAGTATGAGGGTTTTGAAAAGGTACGAATTTCGTACCCCGGTTTGGCGCCTACTTTTGACTGCTTTCAAGGGCACCCCCCCTTTTACCAGTGCGCTGCCCGACGCTTCTGGTAATATAGGCCCACCCACGCTCCTGCGCCAACGGGCACCCAAACCTAGAGGGTGGACTGAAGAAGGGGGGGGAGGGGTGATACACTAGGCGGTGTTGGCCTATCCTTCTGTGAATTCGTTGGTGGGCGGAAGGGCCGGCTGGCCGAAAAATGGCGGAGTGGTCTTCGGGTGTAGTTTACCTTACGACCATCTGTGAAACGAAAAGAAACTCGCCTACCCGTTCTTATTTTGGGTCTGGGAGTGAGTTGAGGGAAAGGGGAATTTTCGGGAAGCTTTGGGGGGCTAATGGGTCGTTGGGAAAGGAGAAAATCCCGGCTAAGTTTGGCTTGATGAATGAAGCTGTACTCCATAGTGGGTTGAGGGTACTCAGTGTACTTGTGGGGAATTAGAAGATCTAGCTGTAATGTTGTTGTGTTCCCGTTTTTGATGTGTTGTGATTTGTTGCGGAGTAGCTGTTGCAGAAGCTCCCACTGGCTTATCCCATACTTGATAAGTGAACATATTGTAGAATGAACTACCAGAGAATCCATAAGGACAATGGGGAAAGAGGATCTAGTGGTTGAGGTGTAGTAAAAGACGCATAAGAAGGCGATGATAATGTAGGTGCATGAAGCTTGAAGGTGAGGATTAGTTGGGAGTTTATTGGGTCTCTTTCGGCTTCTACGAACAACCCTCATATCCCACTGCAGGTCTTTAGCTGTGAGGGTTTGTTTGGCGACCTCTACAAACTCAGCGTGCGACCGCGATCGTGCAACACCCGGGGCACCCAAAAACCTGGAAACTCTGAAAGGGTAAAGTCTTATCATATGGGGGGCGGGGTGGTTGTGGGTGGAAGGCCTGCTCAACCCCTGACTTAAAACATCTCGAAGCAATTCCTTTAAGAAAGTTTCAAATGTGAAGTTGCCTTCGAGGAGTACCTTGAAATTGTGGGGGAGCGGCGCAGTAGCCTGGAGATAAAAAGAGGTACGTACCTCCCTGGCTAGATCGCGAATTCGAGCCGGAACCCTTCAGGCCGTGGGGGCCGTGAGAAGCGGAGTAGCCGCAACCGGGGCTCCGGAAAAAGTAGCCTGGCGGTAGTCGCCGCATTTGCGGCTGTTTTCGCCAAACTTATCACAATACTCATCCCAAACGTAGGCCACTTGGGACACCAGTCTGATCTCGAGGTCGATCGGGTAAGGCATCGAGCTGGCGGAGTAGATCATCGGGGCCGTCCAGTGACGGGACCCCTTTCCAGCGAGCATCCCCTTGCCCGTGCCCTTTGCTGCAGCCTTGGCGTTGGCGAAGTGGTCGCGCTCTGCTGCATCCATCTCCTGCTGGACCCCGAAGACGATCTTGTTCCAGCTGTAGGACCAAATCGTGTCCTCCTCTGTCATCAACTCATCGGGCGGAGTGGTTGCAAGCCAGTCGGAGATGACCTTTGTGATCTCGAGGATGCCTTTGAACTGCTCCCCCTCTGCGTAGTAGCGCAGGCGGTGGCTTGCTCATCGAAGCCGCGCGCCATTTGGGGCGACATCACCGTGAGCGTCTTCCACAAGATCACCACCTGGCGGGGCTCGGTCTCCTCCTTGAGGTTGAGGGCTTGGAGGAGTACTCGGATTGGAATTTCCAACTTTCGTTGGAATTGGGGGCTCGAAGGTGTAGCCCTGATATGGTGGCGGGGTACTGGAGTGCGCGCATCCTTGTACAGTGGGGTACCCTGAGTGCCACCATATGCCTCCATGAACGCCTTTCTCAGGTCCCAGGATTTGAAGCTGAGTAGCGTTACCGAGCTCCACTTCTGTGCCCCTGCCGGCGGAGTAGACGGGTCTGCCGAGAGGACATTGAGGTACTTGTACTCGCCGTCGAAGTTGGACCACCCCCTCTGCTGCAAGAAGGCCTGGACGTGGGTGATCTGCTCGAGCATCCAATTGACCATGAAGAGCCGTTCGGAGGGCGTCATGCTCGTATCCCAGCCGGTCAAAATGACCATGAGTGCAGCACTTTGCTTTTGGAGGGCTCTGTTCTCTGAAGCCATCCAGGCTAACTCCTTGGATTGGCGTAGTAGTCTATCGTCCAGCGAGACCAATGCTGCCTCAACTTGGTTGATCAAATTGTAGAGTTCAGGACGGATCACGGCGGTGTGGTAATGCCGGATGGTGTCCAGGACTTGCGCCCTGGTGGAAATCGTTTCCTTCATCCATAGGGCCATATCTGTCGGGCTGTTTGCGTTGACACCGGCGGAGTGGGCTGTGGCTACAAAGGCCGTCTCCTGCTGGTAGTGCATGGGCTGGAAAAGACCAGTGTCTTGCTTTGCCGGCGGAGTACTCCCTGAGGCGGTTGGAGCCGTTGGGCCAAAGGTGTCTCCGGTTGGGGTGGCCAGCCCCGTTGAGGAAAAGGCCGGTGTCGGGGGGCCGCGCTTGGCAACCCTGCGCTGCTCGAAGAACAACTGCTGTGAGGCGGCGTACGCTGGGCCCTGTACCAAGGTGGCCTGCTCGCTGTAAACGCGCCTGGCCTCCATGAGGCTCTCTGCGGCCCCTGTGCCATCCGTCATGGCTCGAAACTGGGGTGGCGTAGTAGCCCTTGAGGCTACAAGGCAAAACCCCGAAAAAAAGGCCGCGGCTGAAACCATCATGCGAAGTGGTCCCTGCCTGGCAGAAAATTGACTGTGCAAACTGAAAGCGAAACCCACCATGTCTTGCAGCGAAGGCTGAAAGCCGATACGCCTGGGTTTAGGGTTTGGGGTTTGGGGTTTGGGGTTTGGGGTTTAGGGTTCAGGGTTTAGGAAGATCTTCACTAATATCTCGCAGAGTCGCAGAGACAGTGTCTGTCTTGAACCCTAAACCCTAAACCCTAAACAGAAGCTCCAAGAGTGGCCCTGAGCACTGTGAGCCCTAAACCCTAAACCCTAAACACTGCACATGCCTCACCCTAGATCCACGTAGACCCCAAAATCTGTAAGCCCTAAACCCTAAACCCTAAACCCTAAACCCTAAACCCTAAACCCTAAACCCTAAACCCTAAACCCTAAACCCAAAACCCAAAACCCGAACCCTAAGATACTGTCGTTGACTGTGGCCTGCGGAGCCTCCAGGTACTTGGAGGTTCATGGTACTGACCAGATAGTAATTGCACCGATAACCCAATTATAACCATATTAGGGTAATCAAGGGGCCTATAACTGGGTTGTAAATAAAACCCGAAGCCCTAAACCCTAAACCCTAAACCCTAAACCCTAAATCACGAGCCTCCAGGTACGGGTTCAGCTGCTTCAGGTGGATGGTGGGCGCGTTGTTGGCGTAGGCGATGTTCAGCAGCACCTTCACACTTCCCTTTAAAGGGGTTTGGGTTTAGGGTTTAGGGTTTAGGGTTTAGGGTTTAGGTCTTTAAAAAAGCAACTCTCAAAGGGCGCTTCCCCTCGGCGGATTGTGTCGGCGAGCCCCAGAACTAGTCAACGAACGTGCGACGTGGTGATCGCTGGATACTTCGGGATCTGCAAGGTAAAAACCCAAAAAGTCTTAGGGGGGATACCCTAAACCCTCAAACCCTCAAACCCCAAACCCACAACCTAAACCCAAAACCCGAAACACCAAACACCACATCCGAAACCCCAAAGCCGACTCACCGGCGTTTTATGTCTAGGGCCAGGGTTCAGGGCTGAAGGGCGCAAGGTTTGAGGGGACTAAGGATGGTCGAGGGGTGTTTCGGGTTTGGGGCTTAGGGTTTTCGGTCTAGGAGTCCGGGGGGGGTTTACGATATTGGGGGTGCGCATTCTCGGGTGATCCCTACGATTTGGGGGTGTATACTAGGGGTCCCTGATTATCGTTAAGCCCCCCGTCTGGGTAAAAAGGCTAAGACTTGCTAACCCAGTCACCATATTACAATAACGGCACCCCTTTTGGGTTGGTATACTTTGCAAGGGAACCTTGAACCAACAAAAGGGAAAAGGCTACCACTGGGCCACCTAGTGACCCTAAACCCTAAACCCTAAACCCGAAACTTCGGCCTTCAGGAAGGGTGCCATCGCCGCCGCCTCGCGCTGCACGCCGGTGTTCGACTTGGCGGAGGCGGTGATGAGGATCTCCTCCGACGAGTCAAGGGGGTTACCCTAAACCCTAAACCCTGAACCCTAAACCCTAGACCCTAAACCCTAAACCCGAGACCCTAAACCCTAAACCTAAACCCTAAACCCTAAACCGCCAAGGCTGGAGGGTCTAGGGTCTTGCGTTGTGGCGTCCTTGGGCTCAACCGAGGCTTGCAGGGGCGTTGGCACTTCGGCTAAGGCAGGGTCTTCCTAAAGATCTTCGGGCCCCTACTTGGAGTCCAAGTAGAATCAGGACAGTAAAACTAATAGTAATTCACCTGAACAAAGTCCTGCCTCAAATCCAAATTTTGACCCACGAGCCCTTGGAGCTGTCGTGTTCCAAACCCGAAGCCCTGAAGCGTATGGAGATCCGACTCCCTGTGCCAAGGCGTCGGTGGCCGGCGCCCACGAGTTTTGGGCGCGCAGGGTCCAGAGGGCTGCAGGATCCCAGCGTTTGGGGGTTTAACGGTTCAAGGGCCTTTGGGTTTCGAGTGTAGGGTTCATGGTCTTGGTTGTCAGGACTTGGGGCTTCCCGAGGCCTAGGGTTTGGGGACATCGGCTAAGCCACGAGGCGCGGACAGCTTTTTCGCCTGAGCCACTCCCTGCGCACGTCTATGAGGGGCCTTCCTAGCATACCTCGGCCAAGACCTCAGCTCCGACTTCGTGGATCGGAGGACTTGGTAAGTGGCTCTTGTGGGTTCCTGAGTAGGATAGACCCACCCACCTACTAAGTGCCCCAATTCTCCAAGCTGAATGCCGGACTCCAGCTTGTCAGCCAGCTCCACCATGCTCTCCTGGATCACCTTACTGTCTCTCAGGTGTGGGGTCTAGTTTGTTCGATCCCGTCCTTTAAGCCGTATCAAAACTTGATTGAAACAAGCCGCCGTTAGTTCCGCCACAATCGCCGCCTCGAGCCTTCCGAACCCGCGAGAGTGGCCCCTAGTCGAACATGCATCCGTCGCCGCAGACCCACGCTGGACTGTGGCTTTGCAACCTCTTGTTTTCTTGCGAATTTGACCGCAACACGACCATCCAGGAGACGTCCCTGGCGTGTAAGTGCCAGTGTGGACCCGAACAAGAGTCGGGATCATGAGCTGTATGACGGCCCTGATGAATTCCGGAAGATTCGACAAGAACTGCCGCACCCGCTCGAAAGCCTCGCCGCATGCGTTCGGGAGGTTGCCCAGCAAGTGCGGGTGCCTGGTGCAGTGTAGACCCTAAACTTGGGATGTTCCCCCTTATACTAACAGTCCTTGTTCGTGATTCTCATAAGGGGTACTATAATCCCCATTAAGGACTGTTCGTATAAGGGGGAACATCCCAACCCTAACCCCTCAGCCCCAAAGCATTCCCAAAGCCCTAAATCAGGCACCACAACCCCTCAACTTCCAGGATTCGGGTTTGGGTTTGGGGTTTAGAGTTTACGGCTCAAGGTTTAGGACGCAGGGCCGATGTCCCTTTGCTCGCTTTCATGGGGTTTACAAGCGAACCGCTTTAGTGTTTAGGTTCGGGGCCTCAATACGAAGGCCGAACCTCTACAGGAACCAGAAGTACTGCTGGGGAGGCCCCTGGCCTCTCACAGAAGGCCAACCAGTCTTCTGCCAAGTCCATCTCGTCCACAAGGCCTGCACACCTGAGATCTGCGGAGGGTTTAGGGTGTAGGGTTTAGGGTTTAGAGTTTGGGGTTTGTTCAACCCCACACCTGAACCCTAACTAACCTCGAAACCCTCCACCCCCAACCCCTAAACCCGAAACTCTAAACCCCTGAATTCACCGTCAAAACCAGAACCCGCCTTGAGCTCAGGAAAGCCTGGAGGTGATCTTGCGCGTCGGCCGGGGGGCGGGTCCAGACCCCAGCCAAATCCAAAACCTGCTGGTTTGGGGTTTAGGGTTCAGGGTTTAGGGTTTAGGGCTAGGGTTCAGGGTTTAGGGCTTAGGGCTTTGGGCTTTGGGCTTTCGGGCCTTGGGTGTGTGGGGTATACCAGGCTCGGGGCTCTGGGGGGTTCAGGGAAGAAAGAGTTCATAAGCCCTGACAGGGCTAATAGGGCTTCTCGTGCTCTGGGTAGCTTAGGGTGCAGGGCCTCCAGGCCTTTAGGATCTCATGCGGGGGGGTTGAGGGGGTTCAGTTGGTTCAGGGTTTTAAGGTTTTGGGGTTCGGGGGGTTTAGTTCGTGGTGTGGCGCTTCGGGCTTCTAAGGATTGGTGGTTTGTGAAGAATTGGGGGGCTTCGGGGTGTTTATGCCTAGGGTCTAGTGTCTGTGGCTTCAGGCTTCAAGGCTTTGGTCTTTAAGGTTGAAGAGTTTGGCGGTTCATGGTTTTACGGCCTGAGGGTTGGGGGTTTAAACGTTCGGGTGCTTAGCTTAGGGGTTTTACCCTCAACCCTAAACCCTAAACCCTACACCCTAAACCCTAAACCCTAAACCCTAAACCCCAAACCCTAAACCCTAAACCTAAACCCTAAACCCCACCCTACACCCCTGAGGACCTGCTTCGTGGTCGGCATGCCGGCCAGCAGCCGCTCCATGAGGTGCCAGGGCACCGCGCGGATCAAGGCTTCCAGCTCCGTCTCCGCCTCCGCGCACGGCAGCTGATGCTGCCTGTGCTGGCAAGCCTCATCCTCGGTTTCCCGCCGGAACAAACAAGGCGTCGTTGCTGGTTGAAAGGGCTTGGGTCAATTCATGTCTACAAGTAGAATTATGAACGGAAAGTGCTTCGCTTAACTGACGGTGCTCTTGCAACGTGGAAAATACAACCCCCACATAGGAAAAAGGGCTGCCACTGGGGCGGGTCTAGCATCCAAGCAGAGCTGCAGAATGCATGGACTCTCAAAGATGTCTGCGAGCAACAAGAGCCGGAGGCAGCTGCACACGTCCGCCTGCCGCAGGAGTGTTCGCGCCGCCGGCACATCAGGTGCTTGGGCCACCTCGAGGAAGAGCCCGATACCCGTGGCCCAGTCCTCGTGAGCTGCGGTGGCCTTCCGGATCGGTTTCAGCAACTCGGAGACGTCAAGAACGCGCTCCTGAGAGTCGCGGAAGCCGCCGTCCAGCCGGGCTCGGAAATAGTTGGAAGTCTCCTTAAGGCACGACCTCGATGACCCTCCCGTCAATGCGGACGCACACCAACCGTCTGGCTGGCTCCGGTGCCGTGGGCCACGCTCCGGCCACGGCCTCCAGCGCCTCCTTGCGCGAGATGCCCGCAGCCTGCATCTCCTGGCAGAATTCTCGGACCCTGTCGGGCAAAGCCATGGCCGCAGCTGGCGCCGCGACGAGCATTCAACTATGAGAAGTGACTGCTTGCCTTGCAACCAGAGCGGCTTCGGAGTGTTGTGCCTAAACCCTAAACCCTAAACCCTAAACCCTAAACCCTAAACCCTAAACCCTAAACCCTAAACCCTAAACCCTAAACCGTTTGCAAGGCAGCAAGACACCTGAGGGCACAGCACGGTGGCAGCCGCGCTGTCTTTCGCCCCAACCCTAAACTCGTTGATCCCACGCCCTACGCCCTTGCATACGGTTCAGGGTTTAGGGTTTAGGGTTTAGGGTTTAGGGTTTAGGGTTTAGGGTTTCAGGGTTCAGGGTTTTCGGGTTTAGGGTCTAGGGTCTAGGGTGTCGGGCTTAGGGGCTCCTTTCTTGAAGGTTCATGGCGCCAACCGGCGACAAGCAAGGCTACAATCCGACTTATGATCCCCCCAGGAAAGCCCTAAACAACACGCCATCTGCTCAACCTTTTCCGCATGCTCGGCGACCCAGCAAAACCGACCAGGTAGAAGCCAAAACCGCTGTCGTTGATTGATAACATGCCGAACCACATAAGCCCCTACGAACCCCTGTACATTCAACTGCTAAACCACTAAAGCCCACACCCTAAGCCGCTAAACCCTAAACACTACACCCCTAAAGAGTTAGCAACTACCATTTCCATTTTCTAACCATGCCCACCCCCCTAGGCCACCCGAAGACCCAAACCATAACAACCTATACCTCAACCCTAACTCCTCCCAAGACCCATAGGTAGAACCCTAGGAAAGACCCACCTGAAGACCCCAAACCATAACAACCTATACCTCAACCCTAAACTCACCGAAAGACCCATAGGAAGACCCCTAGGATGGAACCACCAGAAGAAACCATACACCACCACATAGAAAAACCCCAACCTCAACATCATTCACCAACACCCCCATAGAAAACCCATATTCCCAACCCGAAATCCCTAACCCTTGAAAATGGAAATGGTATTCTCTAATAAAATAACAATAATAGGAATAAGGTTTAGGGATAAGGTAGGAATAAGAAACAAGAATAATATTATTTCAACAAAATAATATTATTATTGGTTTATTATTTAGGCTTGACTAGGTCGCAGTATTCTTCTTCAATGTCCTTAATACTTTTATTCAACCACTTAACAGCATTTTTTGGTTTCACATCTACATATTTAGTGTCTGTGAGACCCCCACATTGACAAAGTATTTCAGTATGTTCAATTAAATCCGAATATTGCTTTATTAACTTTTTATCTTCTGAGATTCTGCCTTCTAAAAGAGATACATCGCGCCTAACATTCAAGACATCTTCTTGGTCAAAAACACTTTCATAAACTTTAAGCAACTTACATAACTCCTTAATTTTATTTGAATAATCTATTTCATTTAATTTCATTTCATATATCTTCTTGATATACTTCGCTTGTATTTTATATGTATTTAAATCTGTATAATCCATTTTCCTCTTAATATATATAGTTGTTATTTCTTTAAGTGTTTTTCTTCAGAAATTCTTTTCTTCAGATAAACCAATCATAACATTATAATATTAATAATGTTATGTTTGTTTAATCCATTAAGACAAACTCAGGTTTATTCATAAGAGTTCCAACAATTTTATTAAAGTCCCTAATAAATGTATCTGGGTTATCACCAAAATCGTTTATCTTTCTACGAATGTCAATGTTTTTAATGACCATCCAATCCTCATATATCCACCTGAGTCTTGTATATCTTCTTTGTGACAATCTCTTGAACAGACTATTTTTAACTCTGTCGTAAATAGGAAAGTCATGTTTAATTGAGAAAATAAGTCTATCTACATCATATTCGTGTAGTATATTACGTCTGATAATTCCCTCTATTATTTCTTCTTTGGATTGGCGTTTTTGACAATTACTGCAAAAATAAGCAAATCCATAAATATTATTAATAATATTTTCTGGTAGCGACAATTCGTATAGAGTGGAATAACGTTCGTGTTTCTTACAATCCTTACACTTACAATTCCGTCGCTCTTCCTTGAGTTCCCTGAAGTAGTCACCAACCTTGACACCATCCAAGAAGTTATTTATTATTTCATCCTGTTCTTTCTGATTGAACATTTCCCTATTAATATATATAGGTTTTATTTCTTTAGATGTTTTCTTTAGAAATTCTTTTCTTAAGACCTATCTATAGGAATTTCAATCATTATCCTATCCTTATGCTTGCCGAATAGCATAAAATAGTCTTCTAAAAACTCGTCATTAAATAGCAATTGATGGACGTGATTGAATACTTTATCAATATCGGGTTTAGGTTTCTCGGGTTCAGGCTGTGGTTCTGGTGTTTCCTCTTCATCAACAAACTTATTAGGGAATTGTTCGTTTAATCGTTTGCGTATTTGCCTTTTCTGCTTTTCGTATTCCGCCTTAATTTCTGCTTGTGATTCGTCGTTTAGTTTGCCTTCTTTCCTTAAGTTGCCTAACTTCGTTAGATATCCTTTCATCAATATATTTAGTTCCGAGTTCGGATGTAACGCATAATGGAAATGGGCATCCCAGTTTTCGTGCTTGATTTTATGTCCGCATTCTTCGCATAATTGGTTCCCCTTTGCTCTCTCTTCTCTTCGTGCTTGGTTATATTCCTTCTGGTTTTTCTTGTAGCATTTTCTTTTCGCTTCACGGCACCTATTAGAAGTCTTAAAGCCGTCAAACTCTTCAACATCTTTAGTCGCACAACACGATTTACACACTCGCATCTCCATCTTACTATATTAAAAAGTCTAGTCTTTAGGCATGGTTAGACCGAAAAAATCTTCTAATATTTTAATTAATATTAGAACATTTGAACGAGCAAAGGGCAATAGGGCGCAAACTCCAAACTAATTAACCATTACCACACTCTTATGATATGCTTATGGTATAGCGCAACACGCGGGGATGAAAAAATGATGTCTGGGGCTTATGGCACTATACAACTGTCAAATATACATATCAGTAACACTTTAAGTAGTTATTTTAACAATTCCTGTAATTGATAAAACTCAAGCAACAATTTAAATCGTTTCTTATACTGACTTAAATGCTGATAATCCTCCAATTCATCTATTATAGCACTTAGCCTAGCGTTATACATTCTTATCTTTCTTCTTTCAATTAACCAAGCACTCGTGGTTTCTTTCTTTTCCTTCTTCAAACACAAACAATCCATATTATTATTACATATATATTAATCCAGTAAATGAAGACCTTGAAATTTCAATTGTTCAACATCTTTCTTAACATCTTCTACATCTCCTTCAAGTTTATCAAGCCGTTCCTCACATTCTTCTGGTGTGATTTTCCGATTTTGACTCCACCCTGTGCTACAAAGTTCAACGCCTCCTATTTGTGGTGATTTGTCTGGTTTGAATATTCCATCATCGGGAGATACATTTCTACCCTTTCCAATTTTAAAACTGCTTCTATCTTCTACAACATTAACAATAACTTTATTATCTTCTGTTGTTGTTTTTGTTTCCTTATGATATGTATTTCTTTTACATCTACAGAATAAACAATTTATACCATCTTTATTAACACTTAAACCTCCTTCTTTTTGTTCGTCATTTTCTTTATCACTCATTTATACTATCTAGATTTCTTTTTTATTTTTCAAATACATAATGAAGGCCTTAACCAATTCTAGAAGGTTATGACAACATCTACGATATTTAGGAGGGGCAATTATTTGCTCAATGGTCTCTATTTCGTTGATTACTTCAACACATTCGGCATAAGTTATTTTACTTTCTTCCATATACTTTTAACGATAAAATAAATCTATTTATTATTAATAATGATTACACCTATAGTCAAACCAGTCAATGTAAAAGAATATGACTTCAAACAATCTAAATATGAAGTGGCGCCCAGATTACCCTTTTCTCGAATAATAACAGGCCCATCAGGAAGTGGCAAAGGAATATTACTTCAGTCAAAATGATATTAGATATTTATAGAAACGTCTTTGAACGCGTGTATGTTTGGTCTCCTTCAATTTCAGTTGATAGTAATTGGACGCCAGTTAAGAAATACATACAGGACGAACTGAAGGTGGATTTAGAAAAGGAAATATGCTTCTTTGACGAATACATCCCAGAAGAACTAGAAAGGGTGATAAAGCAACAACACAAAGTAATAGAATATCAGAAGAAGAACGACCACAAGAAATTATTTTCAATCCTAATTATTGTTGATGACTTTGCCGACAGTAAGGCTTTTTCAAGAAATTCACCTTTATTAAACCAGTTATACGTGAGAGGCAGACACAATGCAATAAATATTATCACGGCAACGCAAAAATTCAATGCCCTAAGTCCCATCATCCGCGTTAATAGTCGTCAGTTGTTTTTCTTCAGGTTAAGAAACTACAAAGAAATAGAAACAATGGTAGAGGAGTTAAGCGCCGTATTGATTAAGAAATCGTCCGTGGCAGACACTAAAAACCTAGCAGAAGCAAAGAAACTAATGCTAGAAGTGTATAATTTAGCAACGGAAGAACCATACAGTTTTTTATTCATTAATCTAATGAAAGGTGATGTAAATGATATGTTTTATAAACGCTTTGACGCTAAATTAGTTATTGATTAGATAATAATATCTATAGATATTATTATCTAAATCAATGAGTAACTACACAAGTTTATAGCAGGTAGTTTATATACAAATTTATCGCTTTTTGTTTCTTCTAATGTTTCAACTCTTTCAATAACATCCTTTAAAGTATTAAATAATAGCATGTCTGTTCTTGTTTTTTCATTAATGTCTAATTCTTTTATTTGTTTCATATTTTCCGTAGCATTAGATTTAGATGTTTTAGAACCCATTATATATTAATATACATAATTATTAATCGCTCTCGCCTTTACCTTTCCCCTTCAACTTATTTACTTCTTTCTTCAATTTTCTACTTCATTTATTGTTGCCTGTAAAGCACTCCATAAAATTGGAGTAG